TGATTGGCTGGAGCAATCACAAATAAATCCCTGCACAGTTAAGAATATATATGCCTTGGCGTTTAAGCCAGAAACGACTCAGGTTATACCGACTAACTTCTTAGACGTTGACCTCAGAGTCACTCTTTAATTCTTGTTAGTGCAAAGCCTTTTTCGCTTGCAATTTTTTTCCAATGAAACGATTTTCTGACAAAGTCTGGTATACAAACTCTTCATATATTTTCTGTCAAAGTGTTTCCCAAGAAGCTTGACTTCTTCCCAAATTTTTTTTCTTCTTCCGATTATACATTTCTGTGTAGTTGTAACTTCTGTTTGCAGGTCAGATTCCTGTGACCAAGGCTGTCATTGTCACAACGTGGACCACTCCTAATCCTAAGAGTCAAAAATAACAAGTCCAGAAGTAAATTTGAAAGGCACGATGCAAGGTGCCTATTTCCCACTTATCTAAACTTTCAAGGGCACTTAGCAGTTAGAAGAAGATTATAAGTACAGACAGATTTCATGATTAGAAGGTTCATTAGTAAGAAGGTACAGAATACTAATCACAAGACTTTCATTTGCACTGACAAGGTCCGACCCAGCCAGCCTTCATCAGTGACGGTGGAATTGCTCCCTCGTGGCAGCGACCACAGGCAAGGCAGAGAAAACATGTTTTTCACGGAGGAATTCATCAAAAGTAAGCAGAACCGTATCACACACCATTGCTTTCAAGGGCTCCCCAGAGAGCAGCCAGCTTCGGAATCAGTGTGTTTGGTCTGTAAAATGCGAAAATGCTCAGGGGGAGTTTGCATGAGAAAGGAAAACAGTTTAAATCTTGCAGCTCAGGGGAAAAACAACCATCGCGTGAATCTGCACCTTAAATAATCGAATTGCCCACGAGCGGGTGCTTCCGCCCATATTAAATCTATAAGCACAGGAGTATCCTCGGCTGCTATGCAGTAATTGTAAGTGTTGCAAACTCTTGGAAATGTTTTCATTTTTTTAATATTGGGACACCAAAAACATTACTGTGTTAATATCAGTTTTAAGCCTGGAAGAATGTTTTCACATTATAATTATGAATGTGTCTTTCCACGAAAGTCACAATTTTCAACAAAATACGCCCTCATCATAGGAAAGCATTTTCTGAAGAACGATTAAGTTCCCAGAACTATGCTCGGGGTCTGTGAAAGGCAGCAGTGAGCTGTGCCCATGTCCCCTCTGCAAAGGGCTCACCGCTCATGTTATAAATTGAGCAAAAACAGATAACTGGAAATTATATAAAACAAAGTATAACCGAGTGGGAAGCACCCACGCTCTGGAGTCAGACAAATCTGACTTTGAATCGTTTTAATTACGTAGCTGCCCTGGGCGTCAGTCTCCTGGTCTGTGAGATAGGACAATACTAACGCCCAGGGTTGGGATGAGTGTCAGGTAAAGGGCGATCATTGTAACCGACTCCAAATTGTGTGGTAAATATTCCAAATATAGAAACGTTTGAGAGAAGGAGAGAAGGAGATCCACGACATGAGCAAAAGCCTCCTGGGGTCGAACGCCATTGACAGAAAGATTTTCAAGTGAAGCGATTTCACCTGTCCTCCTGGCTGTCCACTTGGTGGCCCTCACCTCCACATCAATGTTTAACATGATTTCCATAAAATACAATCGCAGCCAGTATTTACTGAGAAATCGAAACACGGATGCCACGTTGCTTTCTGTTTTGTTATTCTCCTTGGAGAAATGGTGCTCCGAACACGCTCCATCAGCTGTCCCGTCACAGGCCTGCCCCACAGGCTGTGGAACCCCGAGCGGTCACTTGATACGTGCGTGAACGGACATGGCTGTGCTCCGATAAAACTCGATGAACGCAGAAATGCGGATTCCATAGAATGGTTACATTTTGCGTGTCACAAAATAGTCTATTTAAATTTCTTTCGACCATTTAAAAATGTAAAAACCCATCCTTAGCTTGCAGATGGTATAAAAACCAGCAGGTGTTTAGAGCTGGTTTGCAGACTACAGTTTGCATCCCCCCCACCGCCGGCCCTAAATGGCCACAGTTCCTGTTATCCAGACGATCTCACTTTATCCGTCATATCACAGCCGGAATTTCCATTCTGAAGTTCAAACCGCTAATCCGATCACACCCGTCCTTCTCGCGATCCTGCGGACTCTCCAGAGCCTCAGCGATGCCTTCCAGGCCACGACACCTGCTTCGCTTCGCTCCCTCGGACACGCCTTCCGCTTCCTCCGCGTCCGCATCCCTTGGCCGAGCCAATCCCAATTATTCGCCGATTCCACACATACATCTCTTACATTCTGCTCTCTCCTGGGTCCTGAACGCCTTCGCCACACTTTGGTGTCTGGCATCTTTTTTCCTTGGTCTTAAAAAGTCCGTTTAAAACAGCATCTCTTCCAGAAAGTTGTCCCTGAATTTTCAAGCAGAATGAAGCACCTCCGCACTCCGTTTTCATAGCATGTTGGACACGTTTCAAACGTTTATCTCATTACGTTATGATTCATTATATTCATGGCCGTCTACGCCGATTTCAACGTGTGCTCTTAATGTAAGGTTGCGCTCGTTTGTCTCTGTTTTCGCAAAACCTGGTATATATTTGGGACTTCACAAATGACTTTGATGCCAATACGAAAGAATTCGATTTGAGTGCTCACATCCGCTATCCTTCGCACAAAATTTGTTTTCTAAGGAAGGGAAAAAAATGATACACAGAACATTTGGGGGAGGAAAGTAATATCTAGGCTTATTTTTTTATAAAGCAAAGAATCACTTGGTAAACACAAATTGACTATAAAATTTGTTTTGAATGTTTTTCTTAGTGGGTTTGAATTTTTAAGGTAATAGTTTCACTGGCTAAAACTATCAAGGTTTTAAAGAAATCACAGCTCTTTGTGCTGATGGCATCTACAGTCACTTCTGGGGAAGCCCAGTGAGGTCAAAATTCTACATCTGAGGTTTGGGAAGCTCCTTTCAGTAGCAAGCACCGGGGTGCAGAAACAGTCTCAGAGTTCATCGCGAATGTGTGGACACCCTCGTGGTGCACAAGCTTCAGGCAACGAGTGATCCCAAGTCAGACCTCACAGCTCTCTCCATACCTCTCGGCTCATTCCTGGCTTCTCTTCCCCCACGGTGGGGCTAGACACATCTATTTATAGATCTGAGCGTAATTCTTGGGAAGAAAGCTGCAGCACGTGTATTGGATAAAAAGCGTTCTGCAGGCTCGTGTACTCTCTGATCGTTCAGTGTGGATGGTCATCCAGGCTCCTCGAAGACCCGGGGCAGCCCACGCATCCCTCCATGCTCCTTTGCCTTCCTTTGTCACGAGCGAGGCTCACAAAATTCTAAGCCGTCGTTATTTATAGCAAGATATAAGAAAACATACTATAGGGTGCTGAAGGCTTTAGTCGACTGAGTTTAGAAATTCATACTGATGTCGAGGGTGACGACTACACAGAACCATCCGTGTTCTTTTCTTGGGAGTGTCACGGTGATTTATGATGTAAACAGGGATATATTTTTTTTCCTCATCGTCTTCTCTCTCCTCGAATCCCACATTCTGTTGTGGTTTCTTCTTCTCTGTGCTGGCAATAACAGGGTTTGAAGGAGCAAAGGGGCCTCATCTGTTTTAATTTCTGATCAGGGACAGAGATGAACTAGAGCCAGGACTGTCGCCTGACCTCTGTAAATTAGTTTTTACGAAGATATCTTTATATATCTTTAAATGAAATATAATGATTTCTAAAGGCAATCACAGGGATTGCATAAAAGAAGTTCATATATGCCAATAAATTGAGGAACCGCTGGACCGTTTTATGTCACATCGCAAATGTATAACATTTGCGTTCTCCCAACATCTCTAGACGATATCTCGCAGTTACACTGTCACAGAACTTACTAACACAAACATTTTTAATATATCCAATAATTTTATGCTGGGCCTTTTCCTCTATGGGGACTTTTTTCCACACGTCCCAGCGGACAGCGATTTATTCACTGGATTTTGTTGTTATTGATACTCGAGCTTGTCATGAAGTCTCCGTTAATACTTTTCTCTTTATGTGTCTAAAGGGCGTGTGCTTCTTCTGCATCTTTCCCCCTTATCTGATGGCCGTGCCCTCGAGTCATTTGGAGGGGCTGTGTCTTTTCCGTTGGGTGTAGTTTGGCAGCACGTTACGGTAAATCCGGGTGCAGGGCCCCGCCATAGACAGACCGCTCAGAGTCTCTCTCCCTGGGGTCGATGGTTAGAAGTCATTCATCTTAGGGCCTTATCCTGAGGAAATTACGTGATTCTGCCTGTCTTGACTCTGCACAGTCCCGTTCTATCAGAGCCGTTCTGAGTTCTCATGTATTTTATGAGGCATTAAGTATTCTGCTAATAAATTCTTTTTTTTTTTTTTAAGATTACCTGTTACCTATAATCTAAGAACTCTTGAGTTCATAGATGTGAATGTAGCCAAGAAAATGTTTATCGAGAGTCGATAGCTTCCAGTGGTTCACATCCTGGTTGGAACTGAGCGTTGACGATTAGACGGAGCTCACAATCTAATGCATCTCAATGACTGGCACGTATGCCCGTTGGGGGAGAAGCCAGGATTCTAACCTGTAAGTCAGTTGCTTTGTTCCGCTCGCCTGACTGTGGTCACTAGGGAACTTCAAGCTGTAGACTCAGCCTGATAGAGCCGATGACATTTTTGCCAGAGCACTGTATGCTGGGAACCAGAATTAGCCTCGCTGCCCGTGAAATGTTCTCTCACATGTTTATCAAGCTTAATCTTTCTCCTTAATTCCTCTCATGCTTTTTTCGACACATTTGAGCTCCTGCCCGGGCTTGCACATGTGTTTCTCTTTCCCCTTCTGGGCCCGAGTCCCTGTCTTGAGCACAATACGCGGGCCTGGAGCCCTGAATCCCCACGTGCATCATGTCAAAATTCTGTCCACTGTGACTCGGCCCAGTGCCTCATAGCACAACCGCCAGCTGAATTTCTGTTCTCAGGGGGCCGGCATGGAACCTCCTGGCTCCCGGCACGACGCCTTATGTCACACTGCTATGGTACCAGCCAACCTCCCAGGAAAGCTCGCAGAAACATGTTCTCTGTCCTGTATTCTATTTACATCGATCCATACCCTATAGATGTATATGAGTGCGCATGTGTGTGTGAGTGTGCGTGCGTATGCTTGTCACAGCAAAAGCCTGTATTCTATTTACATCGATCCATACCCTATAGACGTATACGTGTGCGCGTGTGTGTGAGTGTGCGTGTGCGTGCGTATGCTTGTCACAGCAAAACATTTTTATGTATATGACAATACATTTGATATTATCACATTCTTTCACATTTTTCACATTGCCTAACATTTAAACTCAAAATAACTCTACATCTCTTTGACTCTACTGTCTTCACTCAATATCCCAGTTTGCAAGGCCGGAAGCCTCTGTATTTTTACCGAAGTTCTGTTTTGTTCAGATACATACATATCTCAGCGGGGTGGAGTTGAAGGGCAGAGCGCTTGCTGCTCACCTGGAAGCCCCGTCTGTAGTTGTCATCTCCCCGAGGAGCATGATGAATAACCCAAGTGCCCACGCTGCTAAAAAGGACAGCTTTCCAGCCACCTTAGTCTCTACAGAGGCCCCGTGGATCTACCTGGTCTTCTTGGATTCTGAGTCTTCTTTAGCACCCACGCTGCCTCTGCTTCAGCTCAGGTCCTCGCCACCCCTCCGAGGACTTAGGGCGACACCCTCGTCTCTGGTTCCCAGGCTTCTCACCTGCCTTTTCCTAATCGTTGCTGTCTCAATGCGAGACTTATCTTCCTAAATGTAGGTCTGATTATGAATGGTTTCCTTCCTTCATACCGAGAGTTAACCTACCTCGATTCTGTGGTTTGCCGAGTCTTAGGAGCCGATGCTTTCCGTTCACGCTAGAGTTTCTGCAATATCAGAATTTTTGCGGCTGCCTGGTCCGCCCAACCCCCTACGTCTCTAGTCCCACACGCGCTCCTGAAATACTCGCGCAGACCACTCTCCCGTGTTTCTTTGTCGTACTCGTACTTACGTTTAAAATTTAGCTTAACTATTACATCTTTTGTAAAGGTTTCCCGAATGGCCCCAAATCTGACACGTGATAGCTACTCACTCGTTTGTTTAGTGGTTATAGCCTCTTCATTTCCCCATATTCAAGATCAGCATACACAGTTCCTTCAAGCATTCTTTGCATAGCATGTTTTCCCAAACGTTTATTATCTTCCGATAACTTTTTTTTTGCGGAACTCTAAGTTTATCGGTCTCTTTGAGACATTCCTAACTCAACACGCTTCACAGAAAGTTTTCTGATGCCATCAGAGTCTATGCCTTTAGCTAGTTATCCCGCCTCCAATCTATCGACTGGCTTTATATATTGTCAGTCTCTTAGCCTTGAGGTCCATGGTCGAGATTTTTTTTTTAATATATATATATTAAAGATTTTTTTAAAAAACAGCAGTTTTAGGCATATTTCAAAATCAAGAGGAAGATACAGAGATTTCTCATGTCCCCCCGCCCCCCACACCTCCAACACATGCATAGCCCCCCCAGCATCCCCAGCATCACTTACCAGAATGGTCCATTTTCACGAAGGATGACACTACAGTGACACCTCATAATCACCTGAGGTCCGTAGTTTACTGGAAGGCTCGCTCTTGGTGTCGTGTGTCCTGCGGGTGTGAACGAAAGCGCAGTGACATGTCCATCATTCTAATAACATACAGAGTACTTTCGCCGCCCTTAAAATCCTCTGTGCTCTGCCTACTCACGTCTCCCTGGGGGCTTTTATATAAAGACAAGTGTGAGATTAGATCGGTGCACGATGTAGACTTCCCAGAGTGGGGTTATTGCAAAAAGCGTAAACGGATATGTAAGATGACATATGGAAAATAAATCTGAAGGGTTCGTTGAAGGAATAACGTTATAGAAATCAACGAGGGGAGGTTCCAGTCCCAATAGTGACACGAACTCGCTCTGACTCCGGGCAGACGGGGTCATCGCTGTGTGTCTCAATCCTTCAACTGTAAAATGCAGGGATTAGAGTAAAATGTGAAAAGTGCCCCTGTCACCTGACTTAGTATGCTCTAATTGTTAAATTGCCCACATTAAATCATTTCCATCATAGGGGGAAATCTTTAAAAATAATAACCATCGTAAACTCCATAAGAAATAAATAATTTTAAGTGGATAAACTTCACCACGGCATGAAAATCCCCCGGGACTAGGAGAGAGATTGACATTAGTAGGAAATATGAAGCTAACTATCAAAATCTTGTTCCCCGTTTAGAATCAGGTACAACAAATATAAAGATTTCAAAATATATAAGTAGTGGACAGAGCTATTGAGCTTGTCATAAAATCCGTCACGTAAAAATTGTGACAAACGACCAGTTTCAACAGCGGATAAAGGCCACGAACTAGTAATCACTCCAGTCAGAAAGGAATGCATTCCAATTTTAACTCGTAGACGTTTCCGCGAAGTATCCAAGAAAAAGATGATCTTGAGGACCTGAACAATTAAATCTGAAGGAAAACACTGTAGTGTGTGTGATAAGTCTATGTAAAAAAATAAGCCAACACGTTTGCATTCAACATTTATGGTAAAACAAAAATTCAGGAAATCTCAGAGGACATAAATGTCATGAACAAGGCATAAAACGGGCTCTGAGCGTATGGAAGGAAACTGCTTCTGCGTAACCATCAGAACTCGTCCGTTCTATCAACAATAGAAATCTGGCTGAGTCAGGAGAGCACAGAGAAATCTATGCAGTCCGTGAATTGTGTTCTGAAGATGACCATTAGTGCAAGGCGGATGGGGCGTACTTTTCACAGTTGCTGGATCATCATAGTTGTGAGCCGAGACTGTATTAGAGTTGATGGAAGACACGAGCCTAATGTAGGTCTTTCTGAGGAGGCATTGTTCCTAGAAGAAATTGTGGAACAGACCTCAGAGGGAATGACTCCAGTCCGGCGAGAAACAAATCTGCACCAGGTTTGAAAAATCGCCCCATCCTCCCGTGTGAGTGAGATGCTGAGAAGCACAAGTGCTTTTTCAATCTAAGTCTCTGTGTTTTCTCTGAAGGTGCCGTAAGGGGCAGAGGTGGCGCCTGGGGACTCGAGACCCCCTCTCCCCCACTCCTTTCTGAGTTAGGGCCCGGGAGCGGGACGGGGACGAGACCACCAGCGACCATCGCGCACGTCCTCTCAATGAGACCATGGTGTCTAAGGAGACTGACCACCTTCTTACTTTCTACCTCAGCTTCTTACTCATCTGCACGGAAAGTAAGCCTCTCCCGTTTATTGAACTTTGGGTACTTTTCCTGGCTCCTAAGTATTTCTCGCAGATAGCGGATAAGCGTTGCATATCCTGTGGAGTAGAATGCTTAAACAAGAAACAAATTTGGCACGAGCAAGTGTCCCGTGTTAAACAGTTGGAGTGAATAGTTTTCCGATTCTGTGATTTCCAATCAGTATGTAGATATAGAAGTTATTTCTTAGCCCTGTGAGTGGTGAGCAGGAGGTCGAAATGGCCGCATAGAAACTAAGGTATTTTGTTATATTTATACTCTTACAAAATCGATTTGGCAACTTATAACTGATATACTTTAAAAGGAAGATAATCATAAGCTTTAATGCATTTTATTCCTAATACTGTGTATGCATCTTCACTTTTAAAGAACTTTGTATTCCAATGTTTGCTCTCAGAATCAAGGGGATCATCTTACTTTTCCCCAAAGGATAATGGTTCAAAGCTCCTCTTTTGCCAGAGAGAAACGGGCTCCCTTTCTACTGTATGTGCTACCATTTTATAAATGAAGACATTATATTCCACAAAGTCCCCCAAATAAAAAGAAAGGTAATGTTTCTGGGATGATCTTGTCAGATGTATGGCAGCACTGATAATCAGAGACTTCTTGGCCCCAGTTCTGGGTTTATGAAGGACGGTGGCTACTGAACACACTGACAATGAAGACAGGCAGAGTGCGTGCTTGTCAAGGGGGCCATGTGATCTGTGTCTGTTGAATCTGAATATCAATAAGGCAAAGCCTAGAGCAGCTGCTGTTGAACAAGTTTTTTAATCTGGGTCACCTTCTGTGCCTGCACCAGCGAGAGAGTTCCACGCACGCTTTACCGCTGAGCCATGTCAGAGGCGGGCGGGTGGGAAGAGCAGTAGATGCTCTGGCATCTGTACCTGAAGGCGGTCACGGAGAAACTGAGTCAGGCTTTAAGGACAGGAACAGTAAAATAAATACCTGACTGCGGTGCATACACGCACAGAGGCAGAGGATTTTTTTTCCAGCGATGTTTTCGTTGGGGGAAAAAAAAAAGTCGTTATGGAAATAGTTAGTTATCCTTCCTCCTTGAAATGTGCAGTGCGCCCCGCGTGGCAGGGGGTGAGGAACAGGAGTTATGTTGACATGTGCAGTTGAGCCGAGAGAGGCAGCCCAAGCAGCGAGGCGCAGAAGATGCCGGGGGAAGTGAGTGTACAGGACATTGTCGAGCACAGAACTTTGCAATTTCCATGCAACGTATTTGCCTCGGTTCACTTTTAAGGAAGCGGATGCGTCACGTGTAAAATATACATCTTTTTGTTGAGGGTCTCATAACTGTGAATCTATAATTATGCGCATATAGTCTATCTCTCTTCGAGTGGGTGATTTTGCCCGTAGACTCCAAATCGATACTTCGTCGTTATTTTGTTTATCCTCTTGTACAATATTTTTATTAGTTAAAAAAATAAATTTGAAGTCTTATCTCGTTTAATTTTTAAGGAGGCAGACTTTTCTCTGTGTTAACATATTTGCTGGCAAGACGTGGTGGTTTTGCCTTCCTGCTCAAAATACTTACCTGCAAAGTGGGGATGGCGATGACTTTCGACTACGTCGGGAGATTGTGAGAATTGGATAAAACAACGTGTGTGTGCAGCACCCAGTGTGCTCTGCCGGCAGCCGTGGTCTTAACCTTGGACTGGCAGTGAAACCCAAGAGCCACCGTAGGCTTCACCAAGCACCCAGTTTGGTTGTCTCTCAGGAAGCTTGCAGGACGAGCTCCCTGGCACATGACAGCACAGCGGCGATGTCGCGATGGCCAGACACAGCTCCCGGGGTCCCAGTCACTATGCGCATTGGGTGTGTGTAGCCACGGGGAACAAAGCTGACCAGGTACGTCAGCTCAGGGGAGCCATCAGCTCCAAGGTCCCTTCAAACCACGTGGTTGTAACGGGTCGGTCATGTGCCCTCAGGGTCATGTGAAAGGCCCTCATTCTCCAGGACAGTTCCCAGTGCTCGTGAGTCACCAGTGCTTAGTCTGGTACACAGGCCTCTCATTCGTCTTGCACCTGGGACGGGTGACTTTCGAACTGTTCCTCGTTTTCTGCTGCGAGACTGACAGTCGAATCTTCAGGCGTGGCCGACACTACAGAAAAGGCCAGAGAAACCGGTGGTGACCCTTTTCTGGGATAGGAAATGCTCAGACACATAAACGCTCAGACGAATAAGTCACTGCATTTGTCTTTTAAAGACCGATCTATCCAATGTTCATTATAAGACGATAATCGTTTTAACAAGAGAAGCTGCTTGGTTGGAATATTCTCGTGTCTTTTTGACGAGAAGAATTTCTCGTTTTGTGACACGATCACTGCTGACACCAGAGGTTCTCCCTATGCCTCTGTCAAAGTCCTTCCACGTCTGATAAAATTTAAACCTATCCCTTTCCAAATCCCTTCGTGTTACGGGTCAATGATTATCACAGAAGACTTTAAAAATTCAGCAGAGTCTACGGCCACGCCACCCTGAACAAGCCCGATCCCGTCCGGTCTCGGAAGCTAAGCAGGGTCGGGCCTGGTTAGTACTTGGATGGGAGACCGCCTAGGAAGACCAGGTGCTGTAGGCATAAAAAAAAAAAAACTAAAAATAAAAATAAAGAAGGGGATAAATAAATAAATAATTCAGCGTAGTGGGATTGAGGGGTGGCGACAAGTTGTGGTTTTGAGCGTTGGTCGCTTAAATAGGTTGGGGGCGAAGGCCGTTGACGCGGGACTTGGGCGTTGAGCTGTGAAGAGTGATGTCTACATACACGGAGTGAGGCCCTCGTAGTAGGGCCTGACCTAGGCGGTAGTTGGGATAATTGGTTGAAGGGAGCAGAGAGGCGAAGCTCCATCTGCTCCGAGATCTTGGATTCTTGGATTCTAGGAAGATCGTGCGTCGAGATGTTGGCCAAACTACCACGAGGGGTCAGAGAGTGAAAAGAGAGATCGCGGAAAGAAAGGAAGGGTAGTGGAAGAGATGGGTCACAGCGGCAGGAGGCCATGGCCTGCAGAGCAGAGGAGCAGGGAGACGTTCCTCGCAGATGGGCCCTGGTGAGCCTCTCCCCAGACCCACGGTGACGGATGGATCTTTTGAGAGCGTCTGTTTTCGGATGCTCTGACCTGCAAACTCTAATTGCTTCTGCCCCCCATAATTCTGATCTCGCCCCAGAAACGTTGCTGCTTCTCTGATCCTACTGCTCTCTGGGCAGTAAAGCCATTCCAAGCACGAAGCCCAGGAGATCACAGGTGTTTCATTTCTAACACAATTTGTAGGTCTCTACTGTTTTCAATGCCTGGAAATCGTTCTATATTGCTCGCTTTTAAACGTTGTTTGTACCAGGAGGGCAAGTCGTGAGCCAGCTACTCTATCTTGAGCAGAATTGGACATTGCTGAAGGCAGCTGTCCTTTAAAATTATGAAACACTCAGGAAGAGTTTCATAAACAAACAAAAAACCCCAAATCGGTTTAATAATGTGTTCATGTGTAAGAAGAATGTGATTCAAGATTAGGAAAGAAAGATATATTTTAAAAATAAATGCACTACCTAAGATTAAAGTGAGTCTGAGCTTTCAAGTTGGTTTAAGTAATCTCAGAAATGACTCAGTCAGTGACTCAATCACCCATAGCCAAACGAGTCTTCGATCCCACAGAAGATGGTTTTAAATATTTCCTGGGTGCACGTGTGCGTTATGTGCTATTTGACGCATATACACTGTTAATTACCGTCTTGTAACTACTTCGGAAAAAGTCTGGAGTCGACGATAAACATCATGTCAACGCAGTTCAGCCAAAGACTCGGTTTCCGAGAATTTTCTTCTCTCAGCATCGAAGTTATGCTTGAACAAAGCTAAAATAAGCACATGGGAAGCAAAAAGTGCTGAGGGTTACAAAAATCCACATGTGTGGAGAAAAGTATCATTAGCGACGTTTAACTGTTCCGTACGCACAGAATCTCTAAGAATGGAGTTTCGCTTTATGAATATAAATACCGCAAGCGACAGGCGAAGGAGAGAAGCATGAGAATCAATTTCTATATGTTTGCTTTCCACCCTCCCCCCAAGTACTCGCTCCAGACTTTTCTAAAGAATGTATTTGTATTTAATTAAAAATAACCTTCAGGTACAATGAGTTGAGTCGTTCAGTGCGTACAGGGTAAGTTGCTCTTATCTGAATGATTCATTAGACGCATTTTTATGTTTGTTTTAGGTTCACTCTGGTACCCCGAAAATGGCCAACCCTCTTTTGAGTGATCTAAATGATTCCTTTTCAAATAAAATATCTAGGAAATGATAACGATTGTTCCCTGCGCTCGACATTCCAAAAAAAACCATGGTAGAGCTGAACCGAGATGAACAGCAGGGCGTAATGTTTATCTTGCCTTCACATATGTGACTATCCAGCTCTGATTAGGCGACAAGCTTTTCCTACCCAATACACCACTGCTTCGGTTTTGATACAAGAAGGAATGCTAGAAGCTTCTAAGACCTTGCCCGGGGTGACAGAGGTTTGACACGTTACTGCCATCGTCATCGTCGCGTCCTCTTGTCTGCACAGGAGTTTTGTTTCAAAAAACTCCGATTCCGAACGATTCCAAAGTTCTTAAAAATCATAAAATCCCCAAAAAACCCACATCTGCTGCTTAGTAACCGACAAGGCAATTTAATGTGATAAGTTGAAGTCTGAGGCAAGAAAGTAAAGAATAATTCCGTGTGGTTTAATTTATATAGACCGCTTTTTCACAAAACACTGCTAAAATTTAAAATTGTAGGGATAGAGAAGAATTAAATCGGCGGATATCAAAACACGATTTTTAAACACCATACTATTTTAGGACCTAATAACATCTTATAAAACAGTATTATAGGAAAGTACCTTATATATTTAATTCGATTTAAACTAGAGAAGACGACACCGTGCAAAGACATATATTCTATTGGGAAATTCCCCGAAATGTTCAATGGTGGTTTTAAAATC